GTTCGTCTCGCTTCTCGAGAGTTCACGTATCGTTTTGCATTTTGTATTTCGTATTTGACATGTTGTAGTCTATATTTTGTATTTCGTTAATTGAGCCTTGTTAAAAGTATTACTTCACTTGTTTCGTAATTTCATATTTGTTAACTATTGCATTCTAAGTTTGTCCTGAATAAAAGGACCGTTGTTATTGTTTTCTATATCGGGTTCTCACTCTTCTTTCCTGGCTACCTTACCAACACCTTGGCGTTCCCTGCCCCTCTGCCATTCCCTCATCTGAGTTAGTTCGGTTGCCGTACTCTATTCTTTTCGGGGATTTTCGTAGTCTCGTTACGTGACGCAACGGTGCGTCTGGCGCCCAGTCGGTGACTTTCGGTATCGCGTCCCGGGGGAATAGAGCATTATATTTGTGGCGTAAAACGCGTCGGGATAGCTGCGTCTCGGCGAGTAGACTTTGGAGTTAGATTACGCTTGTATCGCGTCCCTCTGAGTTAGTTCGGTTGCCTTACTCTATTCTTTTCGGGGATTTTCGTAGTCTCGTTACGTGACGCAACGGTGCGTCTGGCGCCCAGTCGGTGACTTTCGGTATCGCGTCCCGGGGGGAATAGAGCATTAAATTTGTGGCGTAAAACGCGTCGGGATAGCTGCGTCTCGGCGAGTAGACTTTGGGGTTAGATTACGCTTTAGTCTCAGTTTTATAGCACTGGCGAATAAGTTAAAGTATAAAATTTGCGTCACAATATATATATATATATATGGAACGGGGCTTTAGACCGATAGTTACGGGTCTGTCACGCCCCACGCGGGAAAAATACGTCGGCCGGAGGTAAGTAGTGGGACAAGAGTCAGTGTGCATCGGGAGGATCACGGAGCCCGAGTAAAAATTCCTAATAAATGATTATTGTGAAAAGTGTTCTACCGTTATTTTCTTGGCTCTCTGAAATTTCAATGATCCCACATATATATTTCTGGGGCTCAAAACTGTTTTTGGTATTTCGTTACTTTTCTTATATTCCGATATTGTATTATATAAATGATGATGAAAAATTGCAGCAAGTTTTTAGTGCTTGCACTGCTCATAAAAATGGTATGAATTTTGAAAAAAAAAAAAAAAAATTCATTTAACAATTCAACCTTCTCTAGAGTCATATACTTTTTATGAAAGATTTCATAGTTTTGCAGAATATTGTATTTAAGTCAGATTGTGGGATTAAAAGTTATAATGATTCTCTTGTATTTACTGAATAGACCGCTTCGTTTTATTTGATATTTTGAGAAATGCATTGCAAATGGAAAATAATGTGAATTAACGAAGAACAGAAATATGTCGAACGATATTATTTCAAAGATTGTTTCATTTGTAGAACTAATTTTAATGATCGCATTTAATATCCATTGTTGCATAATTACAAGACGTGGTAAAAAATTGTTAATTAAATACATGACGTAAGAAGTGCTAATAATTACCGTTTTCCTCAAGAGGTGCGAATTTGTCACGGCAAAGTACCACTATCATAAGCCAGCATCGAGCATAAAATGCAACGGCAGAAACTAGAAATAGCAATACTAGAACAGCCAGAAGCAAAGCTCTCCTCCAAGAACCATTCTGAAGTCCCAGATCCACTTGAATTTCTGTAAAAAAAATTTTATTAATTCAGAGTATTGCTGGTAATTGTTGTATTAGTAGACACCGTTATATTAGTAGATGGTCTTCGACGTGACGTTATTATTTATTAAGGGTAATATCAGAAAATTGAGTAAATTCGTCTCAGTTAAGATTTAGTTTCGACAATTTGTTTGTTTTTCTGATTGCTTTATTTTGAACCTGATAAATTGTGAAATATTGAGAATGTGTTCGGTCCCATTTGTTAGGTTAGGTCATTTTTACACAAAAAAATTGTACGAGTCCAGAGGGTTAATATAAAATTTTATTTTTATCCATTAACAAAATATCTCATTATATACATTGTAACAAAAATGTTACAATAAACTCCTCCCCGTCTCCTGGTTCGAGGTCCCATAGGCCTCGAGTATAGCGTCTTAGAGTTAAGTATTGTTAATTGCGTTTATTTAGTGTTTTAGGCTTAGTGTATTTAGAGTTAAGACCCCCTCCCTGCACCCTTCCTTCCCTGTCACCCTTCCCCGTAGGGCACTGGCTCGAGGACCAACAACGAACACCCGCATCGAGGAGACCGTCGTGGACCTGCCACGGGGACTCAGCATCCTTGAATGGACCGCGAGAGTGGCTACGTCGCCGAGGCAGCGGAAGGCAGGGATGGCATGGGCAGGAGGAACACGAGACGAGTCGCCCGTGGGATGGATGCCCCGCCACCACCATCACCGCCAAAATATGCAGCCCCGGTGCAGTCCCGTCACACGGGCAGGAAAAAGTCCCGTGTGACAGCGGCGGAGCCCTCTCCCTCCAAGACCGCGGACATGCCCGGGAGGATTTGACAGGCCTGGAGGCCGCCATCTTGACCGGCGCGCGCAGCCAGCACGCGCGCCGGCAAAGCCAGCGCCGTGCCGCCGCCACGAGGCCCTGGAAGGCCCGGCAACACAGCCGATTTGAACCCGACCAATGCCCTGCCATGCCGGAACTGTCAACCAATGTCGAAGCGCGTAGCCCTCTCAGCTGAGCAGCCCCAGCCAATCAGCGAGGCCCTGGAGGCCCACGAGGGCCAGAAACACCGGAAATCTTATCACTTCGAGCCAGGCCGTTGTGATTGCGAGTTGTGATTGCGAGTGAGAGTGGAATTGTGTGATAAAGGATTATCAGTGTGCGGATATTCGAGTGAGTATTGGGTGACTGAGTTTCCCATATTTGCCATCCCTTCCCTACCACCCTCTTAGAGTTTGCGTCATTAGATTTTTGTAAGTCCCCTCAGAACATCGCGAGCCGACCCACGTGGTCCGGCATTATTCTAGTGATTCTTATTGTATTTGTGACGGGCCTTATGCCCTTAAACTTGAGGCCCGTGGTATATTGCGTGCGTCCTATAGTATTTTGCGCCCTTTTTGGAAAACCCCCCGTGCCCTCTCCCTTCCCCGCCCATTTTTGCGTTACAACGAAGGTAATTTAGAAATAAGCCATTTTGCGATCGAGAACCTTTTTCCCTGAGACCCCCTCGCCGCTCCCTCCGCTAGCCATGCCAATCCCGTCGAGTAAACAAACGAGGACTTTTCGGGGTCACTCGTCGGGTCTACACCGTCACAGTAGCTGGCGCCCAGAAATTGTTCCCCTCCGTTCCCCTACCCCCCTTCCCACTGGGTCCATTTAAAGCCCTCCAACACCGCGTGCTCCCGAGTGGGTACACGCGTGACCATTTTTATAGCACCACTAGTTATGTATATATATCTGTCATTGTTAAACACAAAACATTATAATATATCATACGTGGTGTGGATATTTTTACAACCAATTATCTAATTTTTAGGTAGTTATGTGAGTATTTTGTAATTTATATTTCTACACCTATTAATCTTCGTAATAAAGAGTTATTATTTAATGTTTATATTTTAGATTCAAAGATGAAGATTAATCCCTTAAATGTAGTGAATTTATTACTAGCGTATTTTCAAACTTTACAAATACCCAATAGTGTGACGAATTATAAAGAAATTGAGTTGTCAGAAAAATTGAAACAAATATTAATCGATGCAGCAAATGACTTCAATGAAGTTGATACGATTTTTGAGGATACTTTGGATTTTGAGGAAGAATATAAGGATTGTGATGGTGAAATAGTTGAGGATGAAGTTCAACATCATTTTCCTGATCCTGACGTTGCACCAACAAATCAGTGTACGAAAGATACTGAAGACATCAATTTTGATTACAAACAAAAAGCTGTAGAATATTGGAGAAGTGGGAAAAGAAAACTTAAGTATTGAAACAGCGTAAAGAAGATTCAGAAAAGTCTCATCAATCAGTCAGCTCAAACGTTGAGCTCACAATATTAATGAAGGTGGCACGTACCGAGAAAAAATTGCACGGATTTGTCAATACACACTTGATAATTTTAAAGCTGCTGTTGAAAGTGGTTTAATTATTCACGATCACGATATACGGAGATGGGCGTTACAAGCTCAAAAAGAAATTGGATCTGAAGATGTAAGATTTAAAGCTTCTAAAAATTGGTTAGCGAAATTCCAAAAGGCTCACAGAATAGTGTCTAGAAAAATAAATAAATTTATTACTAGGAAAACATTGGAAAATACTTTAGGCCTCCAAATGATGGCTGATATGTTTGTTGCTGATGTGAAATCTTCTATATCATCAATTGGAATTGAAAATTTATATAATTCAGATCAGAGTGGGTTCCAATTAGAAATGCATTCTGGAAGAACATTAGCAGTTGAAGGAGTTGCAAGTGCAATGAAGTCTTTATGTTTTAAGCACTTTTTTGAAGATAATCATTATTGTCAACACTTTGAAGAATAAAATACTGTGACTTACAATTAATTATAAAAAGAGAAGAAGAAGAAATAAATCTTATAAAAATAATTTTTAATCATAGTTTCATTAAAAAATATTAATAAATATTGAGTACATACCCTGGTTTATATGAAGAAAAAAAGCATAAAATATATAGTTTTTTCAAAATATAAAATAAGGGTTGCAACCCCTTGGGTCATTAACAAACCTCATATCTTCGACTTCTTATGACAAATATTTTCCACTTTGTTTTATTAAAAAATATCAATTAGAATCTGACATATGATACAAAACAATTTTCGGGGGTAAAATTTAGGGGTGGTTTTTATCCCTTTGAAAAATCCTGAAACACCCCAACTGAAATATTTGATAGAGTTAATGGAAACGCTTTTCTTTATTTTTTTGAGCCCATACCCCGGTTTTTATGCAGAAAAAAAGCATAAAAAATATAGTTTTTTCAAAATATAAAATAAGGGTTGCAACCCCTTGGGTCATTAACAAACCTCATATCTTCGACTTCTTATGACAAATATTTTCCACTTGGTTTTATTAAAAAATATTAATTAGAAGTCGAGATATGATGAAAAAACGATTTTCGGGGGTGAATTTCAGGGGTCGTTTTCACCCCTTTAAAGTGGATGTCAGCACAAAAAAAAAATACGTGTCTCTTATTTTGTCGAGTACTACAACATATCAAAAAATTATTGAAATCGGTGGGGTCGGGTTGGGGGGGTTTCCTTGTAAGTATTGTATATCAGATCATATTTGTTCTTCTGTGTCAATCTTTGCTTTATTAATTATATCTTTTTATTTATTCTGCACCGTGTCCCCCTTCTTCGATTCCCTCCCCCTCTCCCGTGATCGAGATAGCTGTTATTGCGAGACCCTGGGCCACACTACGAGGTCCAGTACGTCACAACATATATAACTAATGCATTTAATTTAAGGGCAAATTTTCACAATCGTGACAGATTGCCATAATATTTGATCAATATAAAGAGCAAAGTTTTTGAAAAGTCATTACAATTTTTCACTTAGTTAAACAGGTATGGTTTGAGTTAAATGTCAGAAATACAATTAACACTAATATAAGTTAAATTTACCTTGACGATATACATGAGCTGGTAATGCAATTTCTTCATCTACGCCATTGCTTACTTCACATTCATATTCTCCATAGTCTATCAGAGTGATATCTTCAATTTCCAAATATGAGCCAACGATCTGGTCATCCTCCCTGAAGACATAATGAGACATATATACATATACATATATACATATTATATATTTTGATTAATTTCTTTACAGCCTTCACTAATTATTTAATTCGCATTAAAACTGTCATCAAATGAACACAAGAATTTGCAAAACAATTTCTGATTCAACGTTTAACTTTATATTTGAAAATGGATTCGCACTATAAAAATTCCTTAGTTCAGTTAACAAGACTCGAATAAATTAAACGGGTAGAGCAATAAAGTGATAAATTAAATTAATATTCGCTTAAATGGATTACGTAATTTGAATAGTTTTATATCGAGTGTACAATTTATGTTGCGTCTAAGGTGGTATGACATGATATCATTTTCATTCTTTTTCTCCCTATCCGGTTTGCATTCTACAACGTCGAAAATAAACTGATTATTAAATATACTCACAATTAGAATCAAACCTTACGGATTTGAAAAATAATTTTTTTTCGTTTTGAGAGAAAGAGAGAAAGAGAGAAAGAGAGTGGAGAGTGCAGAGGGGAGAGGGGGAGAGAGAAGGCTGACATGGCTAACGTGTATCCATCTGGACAAAGTGTGTAACACTACGTGAAAATATATGACATAATCGATTTCGTATGAAAATTTTCGTAATTTAATAAAAATTAAAATTTTAGAGAAAACCGATTGATTTTGAAAGTCTTTAATTAAAAAGCGTTTAAGTCGTTTAACGTCTTTTTGTGATTCTTCTGGTAAAAAGACATATACATATGTACATACATACGTCACTCTATGGATAAGAAGAAGTAACATGTAAAATCATAAGGGCGCATGTACTGTACGGTAAATGTTGGCACACACACGCGCGCGTATGTGTTGCGCGCACATGGCTCTTTTGAAGGCAAATTCATGAAACTACCACATGTGCCATGCGATCGTGCTAAATAACTGTTTTCCTTTGATTTATGCGAATTAGAGCAACTTATAAGGCAGATCGGGATAGAATGAACTTGCAAAGTAAAGTGAATTTATTAAATAAAAACACCTCGGATCTATAACATGATGAAAATGATAATTATTTGGTTTAATACTATTTTTTGTTTAAAATGGAAATAAGAAAATAATATTTGCCTCTATTCTAACGATCTTGATATTTGTATTAGACACTCTTATCATTCCAATGTTAATTTATTTTAATACTTTCTAATAATTCTTTGAGTACGAGCTCACGTTTACGGAATATAGTTGCTCATTATAATCGATTTATATTATTAACAGTTGACAGTTCATCATATACTGATATGTAAATTTAAAACAATGTTTATATTTTTTTTTTCAATTCCAAACTTTTTGTAGCTTTTATACTCAGGATTCTTGTAACAATTCTGAAGCAATCGTGAATTAGCAAATAAGTATTCCATTATAATAATTCCTTTAGTTCTAGCTAGTTCATATTCCCAGAACATGTCTTATTTTTGAACAGATTTGATGAAAGGGAAGGAACAATGATCTTTTTCCTTGGAAAAATGAATCAGATACGCAGTCAATGATTAATTGACCTTTATTAAGAAATCTGTTACAATTCTTCATTAATTAAATGTAGCTGATTTCTACTTTTTCAAGTCTTAGATCATTATTATTTTTGCCAATTATAAGTTTTTTTCACGTATGTTTGATTGGTAACGTTACAAAAAAATAGTAATAATAACTTAGAAGCCTCCAAAAAACGATAGACGAGTGGCGAGCAATTTTGTGGAATTTTCGTATACGTATGTATTAGTGACGTAGTAATAAATTGTGTCAAATTTGCATATAATTTCTGTTGTCTAATGAGAAAGAACACGAGGTTATTTTTCACATCAGCGCCACACGAACTTTCGAATTGGCCAATAGTCATGTAAATTGTTAAATTTTAAACGGCTCATTCTCATTGCCATTGTATATGAATGTTTTAGTATGTCCTTTGTTTATTTGAGTAATGACAAAAAGACGCTTACACAGTTTAAACTAGGATATACGACATGTGCTACGTTAAGTATATTAGTATAGTAGAGTCTCGAAATAAGCAGCTTTGGTTCTGAGCTGTTGCTACTCTTGTTGTTACACTCTTGAGGCTCTATTCTATACAGGGTGGACCACGGAGCGTGATCAGTAGAGATTACTTTGTTATTAGCAGTCCGATCGAAAATGTTTTTATCAGCTTTTGCATGGTTTCAAGAGAGCTTTAACGATAGTGAAAAATTACTGGTCAACTCTTTTTTTAAAGGTTTTTTCAAGGTTACCTTGAATTTTTTGCAACTGAATATATAATTTTTTTACGCGTGTCTGTTAGAGGATTTCAAGACGAATCCGGCACATGTAAGGACATGACATTTTTTTCATCTGGTTCGAAAGAAAATTAAAAAACTTTGTATCACAAGGAGAATCACATCTACGCCGTTATTACGCAACCAATGTTGTTGACAAGTCAAAATTTACGAATCTTAATTGTAGCGATGTTCAAAATGGTGTCCACGAGCTGCAATGCACTCGCGTAGACAGTGAACAAAAGATTGTTTTGCATTCTTTATGGCCTCTCCTTTACACTGATGGCGACTGAAGACGACAGAATGGATGCGTATAACGGCGTAGCTGTGATTCTCCTTGTGATAAGGTGTATTTAGTTTTTTAATTTTCTTTCGAACCAGATGAAAAAAATGTCATGTCCTTACATGTGCCGGATTCGTCTTGAAATCCTCTAACAGACACGCGTAAAAAAATTATATATTCAGTTGCAAAAAATTCAAGGTAACCTTGAAAAAACCTTTAAAAAAAGAGTTGACCAGTAATTTTTCACTATCACGTTAAAGCTCTCTTGAAACCATGCAAAAGCTGATAAAAACATTTTCGATCGGACTGCTAATAACAAAGTAATCTCTACTGATCACGCTCCGTGGTCCACCCTGTATATAGGGATCGTTATCATTTGCAGAAAATCAATCTCCAAAATCGTCATTTGCCAGAAACAACACCAACTCCCTGAATGTCTTTTGTGTTCTTGTTGCTTGCGGCAGCAGAACAGGTTCATAGGTATACACTCGCACAGCTGGATGAAAGTTCCTACTGTACCGACAGTTGCCGCAAGCAACGGGAGCGGCGAGCAGCGGCATTGGGGCAGTTGCCGTTTCTGGGAAATGACGATTCTGGACATTGATATTCTGGCAAATGATAACGATCCCTATATTGTATGTATACTGTAATTTTGATAGGAGAGAAAAAGGCTACGGTTGAAAATGTTATTTCAAATATTATGCACGAGATGTAGTGATTATTTTTCAATTATTTTTCATATTCTTGGATAATATGTAACGTTTTCAAAATTAGAGTTTCATAGCGTGTAATATAGTAAAATGTTGAAAAAATTATTTTTTAGAAAAACATTATTGAGCTGTTTGTATTAATTCAAAAAGGTCAAAATTACAACGAGCATGAGGAAAAAGTACTTAAACGTAATATAACATAAGCGAAGCCTGTGAAGACTTAATTTCGTTTACGAAGCAGTAAAATAGGACCCCTAAGAGATCTCCGAAACCCAGATTTAATTGTAAATGTATTCTAGAAATAGTAGACTGAACGGTTATATTTTTCTCGAATCTTTCTAGAGAGTCCAGTGGTCTTGCATAATTGAAGCCCTACGTTAAATTTTCCGACTAGAATTTTCTATGTTGAGCCATAAGTTTAGAGTTTGTGCGAAAACAACTTACTGTAACTTGCTTTGCATTACAAAAATTCTCTACCTGCTTTCATGTAACGACTTGCATGCATAACAAAGAAGTATAATGTCAGTCCAATTCGTGCCTTGTCATTATCGAATTCCGTAATTATCCGGTTTTCTATGACAAAATGACCCGACCCTAGGGTGGTTGAAACGTTTCTGCGAAAAATAAATCGAAGTCTTATAAACACGCGTAGTACCATGGAAAATGAACGCGCCGTGTAAGCCAGTCGCGCCATTGAATTTCAGACAATGGTGACGATTGAATTCTTGGTCTGCGATTTTGCAGCAAGTTTATTTAACGTAGGTCAAAGCCTAGTGATTTACTGAATAGTCGAGAGCGCGTAAAATTTTCCCTTGTTCTTCCGTTCGACGTTGGTCGACACTACTCAACGTCGTTTCGACAGAGAAAACTTTTCCTTTCATCGAAAACTCCGTTACAATTAGTGCACCGCATAAAACTCATGAAACTAGGTCGACCGGTAATTTTACTGCATTCATCGGCTTTCTACAATTACTCTCGTTCAATTCAATAATTTTTCCACGCTCTACACTTTTTTTCTTTCTCCATTTTTATTTCTACCTCGCATGACCTTATCGATAATCTATCGAAAGTATCGTAGTTCATTTAACTACTCAAAAGGTTTGCAATATTGTAGAAAATAAGTAAAAATGCGTGTGTGAGTGTGAGAGCGTGTATGTCGCGTATTACTGTTTGTGCGAGAAACGTGCGAGTGTGTAGATGAAGGAGAGGTCAGCGGACAGGGAGCAAAAGTTGTCAGTTGGACACTAGCTGTCATGGAAAGCTAATAAACGAAGTATCACCAGATTTCATGATTACTAAAATTATATTACCCTGAGATCTTATCCTACACTATATTACAGAGAAAGAAAGACTGGAAGTCCTATAGAATACAATCCCCCAAAAAACAGTCCTTATCGAGTACTACTTGGCGGGTTCGTGTATTTCTTGACATAAATTCGCGTTCATTATGCCAGTCATCAAACTCAAAACCAATGTCAAGTTTCTATATAGAGCTTATTAACGATAGCTCGTTAATAATAATCACGGTAAAAGCTTAATAACAAACATATAGTTTTAGGATACTATTAGTACGTTCAAAGTAAGTACTTTGGAATTCCTGGCACGGAACCGCCAAGTAGTACTCGATAAGGAATCACCTAAAGTTTTATTAATTATTAAATGACCATTAAATCATAATCAACTACGGGAAGCAGTAGTAATGTAAAAGAGTGGTGAAAACGTTATAAGAA